TCCACAATTATCTCAGAAACATGGATATGTGCAAATGCAATGCGACACCTCACTGTTTCACGAACAAAACGAGAAGGACATAATACTAATTGGTATCAGCATGGACGACTTCCTCCCGATCGCGTCACACACCCAGCTCATCGACGACCTGTACCAAACCCCGAAAAAAATAAACGGTCAAAAAGATAGGCAAACCGATCAAATATCTCAATTGGTCCATAACGTACGGGAAAGAGGGAATCCACCTCTCATAGCCGGAACACATCGACAGTGTCGTCGAGCTCATGTCACAGCAGGACTTAAACCCAAAGCGAACTACGTACCTCGACGGAATAAAAATGGACTTGTCCACCGACAGCGAGCCCATTCGAGCAGAGATCGCCGAGATCTACGGCAAATCCATAGGGGAAATCCGCTAAATAGCAGATAGGACAAGGCCAGATATCGTCTTCGCAGCCACAGCGCTAGCTCGAGCCCTCAAAAAACCCACGCAGAGACATTGGAACCTGGCACAACGACTCGTACAATACCTCAAAACCACGAGAACAGAAGGAATTTTCATGGCTGCAAGCAACAAGAGGACAGTGCAAGTCAGTGCGTATTCCGACGCCGGCTACGCGAATGATGAGACCACGCGTAAATCAATAACGGGGATAATAACAATGGCCAATGGCGCACCCGTGCATTGGATAGAAAAACAGCAACCGGTAGTTGCCAAAAGCACATGTGAGGCAGAATACATCGCCGCCGCCGAGAGCACCACGATAACTCTCTGGCTCCACAAACTGCTGCAAGAAGCACGACTCACCACCCCCCTCCCCACACTGCACGTCGACAATACAGCCGCCGTGCAAATGGCAAAAATATGGGAACAACACGGCGAAGAAAATATATCGACGTCAGGTACCACTGCTTGGCACGACAGAGTGCAAAAAGGGGAACTAAAAATCCTATGAATACTCACCACCGAACAATATGCAGACATATTTACAAAACCCCTCAAAGCAATACTGTACACCCAGCACAAGGAAAATATACAGATCCGCGCACAACCAACAAGCGCACACCAGCTCGCGTCGGGGAGAGTGTGGTTCCATCCAGAACCCTCAACAGACGCTCTGGCAGTTTGCACCAGAACCAAACAACACATGGTTCCATCCAGAGCCAAGCAAGTAAGGTACACGTAGAATAAGGCACAGAATTACAGCACCTCACTCACTTGAACAATAAAGTCGCCGCCGTCGCCCGCTTCCGAGAGGATCGGGGGTATCGGTGTTCCTGGAATCACAGTGAGGGCGGACTTTTTGCAATTCAATCCGAAGTGGCACGATTTGGATTTCGCGGCCTATTTTTTTATTGGGAAATATCACGATTCGTTGGCGAACTCGTGCCGTTTGGCTTTATTAGTAGGCTAATTTCGGAAAAGTAGCAGTTCAGTAGGAGAATAAGGGAAAAGTGGCACTTCAGTGCGGGAAGCAGCCATTGCATGCGGAAATTACCCACCGTGACTCAAACAGTGGGGGAAAAGACCAAATGGTAGGGGAACTCCCTGGCTGTGACGAAAGAAGTAGGCGAAAACAAATTAACACATGTAGTAGGCAAAAACGCTACTTCAGTCACCTTTAAACAGCTGACGCAGTTCACATTTGCGAGCCGTACGTCCCTTTAGGTGGCACAGAGAGCAGTGGTAGGAGCGTTTTCGAGCCGCAGGCCCGGATTCATACCATGAGCGCATCCGTTTCCCCGCATTTTGGACTGGCCTCCCGCGCGGTGGAGCAAGGGCAACTGGAATGTTGATGGTAGAACCAGACAAAACTTGCTCCTGAGCATCCAGAACAACTCTATCGACGTCTGCTTGCAGCGGCATCCCAAACGTTAGCCCTTCGTACTGTTCTTTCCAAGCGACTGTTAGATTTTTACGTCCAATAAACTTGAACAAATTCATCGTCCCATATTTCTCGCAAAGTACGGCTGTTCCATACCAGCAAGGAAACAGAGCTCTGTCGAAGGAATAAGCACAACACTCAGGAGGTTTCTGCTGTTCGTTGCTGAGAACTACTCGCCTTGTTCTGGTACCATCCATTTGACTAATCACCGTGGCTTCCATAAGATCTGTTCAATCTAAAAACGTCACATGCGCTTGATAGGGCCTTCCTCGACGAATGAGGGATGCTAAATGCCTTTTTACTTGCGGAGGGACCGGGGCCTTGCAATTTAGAGCTATATTTCACCGTTTCAGAAACGACTTTCGCTGCGAATCGAGGACTGTTTTCAGCATTGACTGTGGTTCCACACTTCGGATTTGATTCCTAAGTGAGGCACTTATTTGGCTTTCCGCGCCCTGCGATGAAGTCACTAGATCCTGCAGTCCAGCATATGCCCTGTAAAGAGCATTATCCGGAAATCGAGACAAATATTGGGCGGTTCTCTGCCCATAAGTCCGTTTCACTGCGTCAATAGCACTCCGAGATAGTGCATGCATAGCTCGTTCGTATTGAGCGATACCGGCTGCCTTTTCATTACCCAATGCCTTCATCATGTTTTTCTTAACATGCAAAGGGTCAAGGAACAGTTTGGCACATTCCATGACATTTTCAAAAGAGCAATCAATGGACTTTTCTTGGTCCACAATAGTAACGCGGCCTTGAGCATCAAACCCGGACACCCTCTTCAAATTCGTAAACACCATGGTCCACGATTCTTCGCATTCAGTTCCGACGGTGTGGGCAAACAATAGCGGTACTATATTGTGGTTAGCATCGTAGCCAACGACCTCATACGTTGTGCCGTATGACTGCGGTCTGCACCCCTGACAGTGTGCAGCATCAGCGGCTGTTGTAGCTCTCCCATATTTGCAAAAATGGCTGGCAATGCTGGGGACAAACACGAAGCCTGAATAATATTTCCTGCCATCTACAATGTCCGAACAGTCGACAACTTGGTGGTCAAATCTTGCCTCCTCAGGCACGAACCCGCCTTTCTTGAGTTGTATAAATATGAACTAGCAGCCTTAACACGATTTTGCTTCATTTCGTCCGCAGAACATGTAAAAATCTCGACAAAATGACCCAGTTCCTGTAACAGTATTGCATATCCCTCCATAATTGCCATTTCTTCTAGGCGATTGGCCGTCATCATGCGTGATATCTCGGTCTTGACTGCGCGGAAGTGACGTAGACCTGGTTGACGGGTGTATATCTGTTTTGCAGTCACAATTGAGACGATAAATCTAGTTGTCAAGGACGGGTTTTCTTTTAGATCTGGAAGAAGAAATCGAGCCACTTGTTTTGCCGTATAGGCAGGGGTGCAATTTCGCCTACTATTTGTGTCACTTCCAACGTCTTGCCCTAGACATGCATGGGCTTTGTACTCAGGCAACTTCCATCCACCAGTGCCTGGGTCTCGAAGAAACCGTATCTTCGCCTTGCAATGACCATCTCGACAAGTTAGAAAAAGTGTCTCAGCCGTTTGATGAATATTTACACCTTTTTGTATGGATAAAAACGCCGTATGTGCACGGCAATACCGCTCACATTTCCACCTCGTGTCCATTTGGAGTCCTTGTTCTGGTTTTATTTCAACTGCTCGTTCCGGCCGCCAACTCTCAGAGGCCCTTCTCTCCTCTGCAAGTGCTTCCCTCGCCTCATCTCGAACTTTTGTTTTGTACGTACGCTTGCTTTCACGTACCCTTTGCAATTTTTCTGTATGACGCTGCGATTCGTCCTCAAAGAGGGTTTTTTTGGTGAGGTTGTACCCTCCCGAGGAGTGTGATGTGATTGTTTCAAGTTTTGTCCGTTAAAAAATGGCGCTGTGGATTCTGAGACAAACACAATACTGTCATCGGAACTGCTATTGTCATGATCAGGACTGCAGCTCCGGTATGCAGACCTTTTTCGCATAAATTCTTCTTCTTCGCTGCGAAAGAAACCGTCAAAAAGGTCTTCTAGATCGTCTCTGAATGCATCAGACGGATCTCCCTCCTGAAATAGAACATCTTCATTCGTAGTAAAGCCATTGAAGCAAATATGTCCTGGAATTAGACACGAACTTCTTCCTCCATGGCTATCTGCATACTCTTTGGCCAACTCAAAGCATTTTGATATTTTTTGCGTGCAGCGAGTGGCCTCTTCGATATTACCAATCCCTCCCTTGTATGGATGGACCCGGAGGCATAGGTTCAAATACGCACGTCGAATGTTGGATAGCGGGATGCTCTCCTCGGTATTACGTGGGAAGAATACCTTCAATACGGAAGTATTTTCAGGGATCGCAGTGATTCTCTGTAGCTCGTCCTCAGTACCCATGTTCAGTAAGGGGAAGAGGAGTCAAGAGCAGTAAGGGAATGGGACGGGTTTAGGGTTACCAGACGACGTCAAGATCAGTGGGGGATTGGGACGATGCGGTCAAGAGCAGTAGGGTAAACGTAAATCTGTCACAGATATGGTTGGGTTTTTGAGGAAAACGCCTACCGATTCTGTCATTTTTCGTATTTCGCCAACGGAAAAGTGACTTTGCATCGCATTCTCCTACTAAATCTGTCAAAAAAAACTTTCGCCGACGGAATCAATTCTTTTTCCCGTTTCCGCTACTGATCGTGAAATCTCCCTTTCTTATTTCATTTACGTTTCTTCATGCCACGTACTGGCATTTGATGTACCGTAGTAGCAATGCCTGGATCCTTATTGGTCGCGTAGAGAGGTTTCCAGCAAGGTGTCGATCGTACGACATGGTTATGAGGAAAGCGCATAAACAGCGAGGAGGGGGGGTGGTCTATATTTAATTTCGCGCACTGTAGGCCTGGCTGTGACGAAAGAGTCTCGTGCCTCCCTCCGGCCCGGCACCGCCGGCCGGGGGGACGGCGAGCTTTTATTCAATCTGGACAGCTAGGGCCACACTAATTGGTGTGGCCCTTGTGGGGCATCACCTGCGACATGGCCTACTTGGCGGTCGGGGTCATTGGCCAGCGAGCACGCGCGTCGACGTGTTTCTTTTGTGAGGCATCACAGTCCCCCTGACGCGCGGGCAGCTGGGCAATGACGGTGGGGGTGAGTTGGATTTGGACTCTCTTGTCGAATGGTTTTGACTCCGAGATTGGCGCGGTGTGCTTCGTAAAGTGCTGTCTTGAGCGGTTTTGTCATGATGTCCGCATACATTTGCTTGCTTGGTACGTATTGCACTGAAACCGCATTGTGTTGGACGAAGTCTTGGAGGATGTGGTACTTTATGTCTATGCATTTTCGGCGCTTGGTTGGTGCGGTGTTGCGCGCGATGCGTATTGCCGCGGCGTTGTCGGTGTTTTGCGTTGTTAGTTTGTCCTGTGTAAACTCGAGCTCGTTGAGCATATTGCGTAGCCAGATGGCGCCTTGGACTGTTTCGGCTGCTGCTATGTACTCGGCCTCACATGTCGACTGTGCCACAAGGGGCTGTTGTTTTGAATGCCAATGGACTGTCGCACCGCATAGTTGGTAGACGGTGCCTGAGAATGACTTGCGCGTTAGCTGATCATTAGCGAAATCCGCGTCTGAATATGCAAGCAAGGGTGATTTGGTGCTTGTGCTAGGGAAGAATAGGTCGTGTTTGGTGGTTGCTAGTAGGTATCTGACGGTCCTTTTCATTGCTTGCCAATGGTGGGTGGTGGGTTTGTTTGTGGCGCGTGCCAGTGCGGCGGTTGCAAATGCGAGATCCGGTCGAGTGCAGTCTGCATTGTACCGTATTTCACCCAGTGCCGCGCGAAATGGTTCCGTGATGGTGTGGTCTTGTGGCTCGTTGGGGTTTGGTGGGTCGATGCTTGCCCCATCGAGGTATGGCGTAGTTTGGGGGGCTGCCTCTGCCATTTTTAGGTACTTGGCTACCTGGCGTATGTGTTGTTGTTGTGAGGCGTGTATTCCGTGTGGTGTATAGGCGATCGTCCAGTTGAGGTACTTTGTGGGGTTTCCAAGCCGCTTGACGTTGTATTTGCAGCTGACGTCTTTGTAGAATTCATCGTTGAGTTGTTGGCTGGTGGCGGCAGCGAGGAAGTCGTCCATACTGACGGCTATCATTATGTACCCTTCGGTGTTCCGCTTGATGAACGGTGATGGGTCGGACTTGGTTTGCTTGTAGCATTTGCTTTGAGGTGCTCATGTAGCTTGGTAGAGTAGATGTTGGCGGCTGGCGGGGTCCCGTATATGTTACCCTTGAGTAGCCCAGCTCTGCTGTCGTGCTTGTAAGAGCCATCGAAGCGCTTGGGCTGCCTGATGAAGACTGGTTGGGAGTTCTCGTACTGCTCGTGCAGGTACGCAGAAGCGATGTCGAACTGTTCGATGGTGAGGTTGTGTGCTGCTGAGAGGGCGAGTACTATGCAGACTGTAGCTTTCTCAGCCATGAACGTGGCTACTTTGTTGGGGTCGTAGTGGACATCTGGTTTCATGAGATCTCCGCGTACAGAACATCGTGCTTTGCGTGTGATGGCGGTTGCGGTGGCGTCGTCGTGTTTGTACCTGTATGTAATTGCCATGGGAATGATATCTGTTTTGGAGGGAAGGCTGTGGTTTGGGGTCCATTCGATTGCCTTTGTTGCATACAGCTGGTCTAACTCATCGTCATGCGCCTGGCCCCACTCCGCTGCATCTGGGTACTTGCTTGCTTGGAGCCTTGTGCGCGAGGGGGGGGGGGGGGGGAGGCTCTGGGTCTTAGCTCTGTTGTAAATAAAGATGTAAGGTATATGATAAGGTACACATTAAGTTAAACAAACGGCATACACCGATGCTGTAAGTAAAGAGACGTTAAATTAAAACAAAGGACAAATTACAGTTACAACGCTGCTTACAGTAAATGTTTACTCGGTAAAATTCCTGAGTAAACATTTACTCGCAAGCAGATTAACATTTACTCGGTGTGGAGTTGATGGTTGCGAGTAAATGTTTACTCGGTGACATTTCCGGGTAAACATTTACTCGCAATCAGATTAACATTTACTCGGTGTCGAGTTGATGGTTGCGAGTAAATGTTTACTCGGTGACATTTCCGGGTAAACATTTACTCGCAAGTAGATTAACATTTACTCGGTGTCGAGTTGATGGTTGCGAGTAAATGTTTACTCAAGAATTTTACCTAGTAAACATTTACTCGCAAGCAGATTAACATTTACTCGGTGCCGAGTTGATGGTTGCAAGTAAATGTTTACTCAGGAATTTTACCTAGTAAACATTTACTCGCAAGCAGATTAACATTTACTCGGGGTGGAGTTGATGGTTGCGAGTAAATGTTTACTCGGTGACATTTCCGGGTAAACATTTACTCGCAATCAGATTAACATTTACTCCGTGTGGAGTTGATGGTTGCGAGTAAATGTTTACTCGGTGACATTTCCGGGTAAACATTTACTCGCAATCAGATTAACATTTACTCGGTGTGGAGTTGATGGTTGCGAGTAAATGTTTACTCGGTGACATTCCCGGGTAAACATTTACCCGCAACCAGGTTAACATTTACCCGGTGTCGAGTTGATGGTTGCGAGTAAATGTTCACTCCTTAACATTCCCGGGTAAACATTTACCGGCAACCAGGTTAACCTTTACTGTATGGCCTTTAATGGCTTACGAGACATGTCATACAGTCATTATAAACTGAGTGACATGTGATTGTTTATTCGACGATATGATATCGAGTATAGGTTTACTGTTCCTCGCTTTGCTTGACAGTTAACGTTTACTTACGGATAAAAGCGCGCGAAACCGGAACAATCCTCTCGTATTGCTGCGAACAGTTCGATTTTTAGGTTCCATATAAAAAGGGACCCGAAGTTTTTTATATCGAGCGCCCATCATCATTCTCACGGACGTCACTCTTTTGTTTTCTTGCGCGTTGGTTTTTTCGAAATCGTCACTCTTTTGTTTTCTTGCGCTTTGGTTTCTTTCACACTTGACCGCTTGCTGTTGTCAAGAACGGGTGTGGTATGTGTCGCTCTGTGTTTCGTTTTCTAGACAGACAAATCAGGGATCTGACATTTCAACTGATTTTTTAGCCTCCGAGTTGTGTCTGACCGACATGTGCAGACAGGAAAAATAGCGCGATCTGCGTCCGTCGAGGCCGAGAGGACAGAGTCGACCCCTCACGGGGTCGATCGCCAGGTGAGAAATCTGACCTTGGCGGGGCTATAGCCACAGCGGGTGAGCCCGCTGGGGCCTTCGATACGCTTCAAGAAAGGGAGCCCTCGGCAGAAAAAGAAAGCCTCGAGGCGTGGAGCCAACTCAGTGTCCCCACTTCCATAACCCCTTTTTCGCTACACGTCCAGTCTCAGTTCTAAAGCCCGCAAGTTGCTACAGGGCGCAGTATGAGTCTGTCAAGGCTGTGGGGCTATCCCGCTGTCAAGCACCAAACGAAGGATGACAGGCCCTCTCCGAGTTTCGCTTCCCAAGTGAAACGAAACGCCCCCGCCCTTGCATGTAAAGGCCTCCATGCTGTCGTTTCTATTAAGTGGAAGTAAGCAATGATATCTTAAACGAAAAAATAGCGTGAACTTTATTTGGAATGCAAGATCATATATCCCCTTTCCTACGCTTTTGAATGCATGGACTATGCGCTGCGACGCGTTTGGGGAAAGCAGTTCCAAAGATTTCGAACCTACGCTCATGAATGCGGAATCCTATTTCTAGCATGCCGCATAGTAGTAAAATGGTTCTGCTCGCTGTGCGAAAACCATGTGCAAATCGAGCTGTCGGTTTGGCATGCTCATATTGACGTTAGCGCCCCGAACAATTGGCTGCCAAACACACAAGTTGATACTGTCCTTGCATCACGTGCAGGGCCTTTCTGGGGGCGCAGCAGGATCTGAAATGTTCACATGTAGCGTGTGTTTATGTTGCGTTTGGCAACCTGAAAAGGGGGGTGCAAATCTCATAATGAGTTTCGAGTACCAAAAAAAGGGGCTCGAAACTCATTTTGAGTTTCGAGTACCAAAAAAAAGGGGCTTGAAACTCATAATGAGTTTCGAGTACCAAAAAAAGGGACTCGAAACTCATAATGAGTTTCGAACCCCCGAAAAAAGGGACTCGAAACTCAAAATGAGAATGGCCTCGAATCATGCGCAGGGGCGCTTCAGGGGCGGGGCAGGTACTGTACTGTTCACATGCACAGTATTCTCATTTTGAGTTTCGAGTACCAAAAAAGGGGTTCGAAACTCATTTTGAGTTTCGAGTACCAAAAAAAGGGACTCGAAACTCAAAATGAGTTTCGAACCTGCAGAAAAAGGGATTCGAAATTGAGGTTGAGGTTTAGACCTACAGTAATTGGTACAGTATGAGTATCTGTACCAGCATCTCTTTGTCCGTTTTCTATTTTAGTCTCACTTGTAGTTTTTTTGAACTCTTTCTACTTCGTCAAACCTATGAGAAGCTTATCTGCCGTGCTGTAGTCAGTTGCGCCCTTTCAAAAAGAGTTGAAATTTTCTTTGCCAATGACGGGTGATGGATTTCTCGACAAACGTCGAACCATGCAATGGACGTTGAGAGTGATTCATCGTTCTGGCAGTGATGTACGGGTACCCGGACTGTACAGCGTACGATAAAAAGAGTTCTATCCGTTCCGGTTCTATCCAAAGTGATCAGCACAATGATCGGGCCACCCGCAAGGGCAACCCACTAAAATGGGGGTCCGCTAAAACGGGACTAAAATCATGATGTACTGTATCTATAAAAAATACGTAACAAGGATATTAAATGTCATGGATGCAGCACTTCGCGAGAGAAGCGGCCCTGGGCTTCGTATGAGACACCGGTTACGCACCCACGTACCTACGGTACCTCGCTTACTCGTGCTGGATCTTCCAGCCTTGAACTTCTTTTGCATTTCTGACTGAATGGATAGAGAATCAAAAGCCTGCAGGATTCTGGGAGTACAAAAACGTCGCTTCGCTTTATAGGTTATAGGAGGTCTCACGCGTCTAGAGATGAACGCCGTTGATAGGCATGTAGAAAAATCGGGACCCAAGAAAACCCCAGAAAAATCAGATAGAAAAGGGTTCAGGGGATAAGGTCTGCTTGTCTTGCAGTCCACAGCTGTGTGGCTCTTTAGAAAGAATGCAAGTCGTACATATCGACATTTTTACTTACCCGACATGAAAATTATGAACCTTGTTGTCTAAGTTCCCCGATACAGCGATATATCCTTTGAGTGCGAAGGCGTTTTTGAGCCATTTTCATTGACGGAATATGCTGTTCAGAGTATGAGCTCATTACCAACCTGCGGAAACCGACGGCGGTCTATCGTACCAGCTGAAGATACGGAGAGCAATGTGAGAGAGAGAGTGATGTGGCCTCGTGTATGTGAATTCTTTCATGAATCTACCGATGATTTCCTTCGTGGTATTGGATTTTCATGTCATCCCGAAGACTTAAAGGAAAATGACGCATTTGAAGAACTATGTTCTAGGTCGATCCACTATTTGCGTGATGTCGTAGCCACCACAATTTCGAAAACACTGGACAGCAAGACGTACAAGAAAAGCTATATGCCTGCCGCACGTTCGCAACATAAGCGTAGAATAACTGCCCGCATCGTGAACCTTGCATGGTCAATATCGGTGGGTAGTGACGAACCTTATTCTAACTGCAGCGATGATGGGGTTAAGTACGCATGCCAGCACCTCGTCGCCGAACTTTCCCTGTTCAAAGCAGTGGCTGGGAGCCTGCCTCGGTGGTTGCGCTTGTCGTCTCCTTTTACTTTTCTCTTCATTCGTCTCTGTGCGATAGACTGCCACGTTATTTGGCAGAATGTTATCAATCATGAGGGGTTTGGAATTCAAAATACTCCCGACATGGTTGATTCGTTTCGTGAAGACAAGTTCAACATCTGC